TGATTTATGTTTGTTGTTTGGATCGATTGCTGTTTTCAATCGATTTGTTTTGATTGCTGTTTTGTATTACTGTTTGTATCGATTGTTGTTTTCAATCGATTTTGCTATTGATTTATGTTTGTTGTTTGGATCGATTGCTGTTTTCAATNTTGCTGTTTTGTATTACTGTTTGTATCGATTGTTGTTTTCAATCGATTTTGCTATTGATTTATGTTTGTTGTTTGGATCGATTGCTGTTTTCAATAGATTTGTTTTGATTATTTAGTGAAAAAATACTAAACAGCTCACTGGGGGTAAATTGGTCATTTTAACCTGTTCTGTCCGGTCATGTCATGTCACCTGTCCTGTCTTGTCATGTCCTGTCCTGTTTGCGTACCAAACGCACCCTTAAAGACATATACATGTTACAAATATGTATTATGAAAATTTATATGCAAAATTAATGAGTTAATTTGGTGTAAAATCGAAGGTTTAAGGTCCAACCAATGAAACAGTTCGAAATGGGAACCCAATGCGAGTTGACCATGCAAGATGTGCCTTTTGATTTTCCATGACCGTGTGGGAGTTTGGCACATTCATCTAGAATTGAATAGTGAAGGGAAATTGAGACGATCGTGTGAGGTTTGCTGGCTTTTGTACGATCATGTGAATCTAGAACATCGCCGTTGAGTCTATATATAAGATAGTTTAGCAACAAATATCATGTGCATGGGTTGACTATTGACTTAGTTGTTGTGGTATGCATTTGTGCAAGCATTTTATTAGGACTAGATATCAAACATACACTTCGTATTAGGTGAGTTTCATGTATTTTACATGATATATATGTCTAAGTATGAATAATTACTTTCAGAAAGATCAGTATGTGCTATATATGGTTCGTATATACTTTTCAAAAGAGATTCGCGTTATATGTATTTTCATACGGTTGAAACAAATCATAAAGTCCACATATATCATTTCAGATATATATATATATATATATATATATATATATTGTTATTTAGACATGAAAGCACCAACGACACCAGCAATTAGAGTGGTGGGATCACCAAGAACTGCAGATATGACAAACTGCATTGCCAAACCAGCCATCTCACAACACTTCTTCACTTTCCCTTTACTTTGATGGTGATGATTTTGATGATAGCTTTCCAATGTGCCCTTCAAACTTGGAATTCTTGTCTCCACTTTCCTATTTTGCCCATACAAATCACAACTAAAATTACCTTTCACCCCAACCCCACCAAAATACAATTCATGCCAACTCTCCACCAACATCTCTTTCACACAGGCCACGTGCAAGTTATACTTCTTGCATCTTGACCTGTAACTCCAACTTCGTCCCTTCCTGCCACATCTGTGGCAGGCAGACCCCACCTTTCTGTAAAGGTACAACTCCACCTCGCCGTCATCCAACATGGTTGGAAGCTTGGCGCAACAGGGGTGAAGGTCGAACCCACACAGTGAACAGTGGTAAACGAACCCTGACACCACCTTCTCGCAGGCGTTGCAATAGCGGGCTATGGGTCCCGGTGGGCGGGAGAGAAACTGGAAGGAACACTTGGTGTAGAAAGGGTGGGAGATGGAAGAGGACGGGAGGGCACAGTGGACGTGCAAGTCGTAGTTGCATGTCGTGCATTTGTAGTTAGAGCCTATGCCGACTTCCTTGCAACCATCGCACTTGAATGGGACCTCGGTGTAGCATGGTTTGAGCCGGTGTTGAGGGTGGCTGAAATGGGAGATTTCGTTGAATTTCATGGTCGATTTTGTGTAGGTTATCGGGAATGCATTAGGTGATTGATATATAAAGAAGGGAAGCTTGTTAAAGAGATGAACATATAAAAGAAGAATAACGTATAGATGAGGTTTTTTGGTGAATTGGTGTAAGTTGTGAGGTTAATTTTGAAGGGTAGCTTGGGGATGAAGCAAATTAAGATAAAGAGAATCGAATTTTCCACCTTTTTTGTTTCTCTTTTTTCATTTCGAATGAAATAAATCGAACGTATAATTGGACCGTTTTGACTTGATACATAACGAGTATTTAAAGAAATACGAGTGGTCTTCAAACTAATCAAAGATTGATCTTACGGACGTATCATTTGTTTTTATATGTTTTTCATTCATTCCTGTTGTATGATAAACAACTTTTGAGGGTCAACTCAATCGATAAATAGAGACTAGATCTTGAAGCTCTTCTCCATATGTCACTAGTTCGAGTCTCAAAATAAAATCGTTGGAATTTTGTTGGGTGTTATGTCCTTATGGGATAAGCTTATAACATATGTTTTTATATACACTTTTTCTTGAAGTCTCCATAATATGTAAAAGTTCATACAAAACGTCATATTTAAATGAACCATGCATACAAAATTTTACTCTTCTAAAGGACTGGACTGATGTACCCTTTTCATAAGAATGTCTAGACGTAGATGAATATTAAAAAATCAGATATAATTTTATTATTTAACCAACTTGCGTTATCTGTCTTGACATAAATTTATTAGAATAAAGAACATAGCCTAGACGTTACAGGTCGGTCTTATTTCAGTTACGAGTATACTTATATATACATTATAAAACAATTGTTTTATTATAAATGTATATATAGATAACATGATTTTTATTGCATTTCGTTTGTAAATAAAAGAATGGTTAATAAAATTGTTGGTGGAATGGGAATAAAGTTTTAGACTTTATGCATCTTGCTTGGGGAGTTTGGTAGAATTATTCTTGTATATTATTGTTATTGTTTTTGTGGAATATATTCCTTAAAGTATATATATGGATAAAAGAGTGAAAACCACTTGTTTTTTTCCAATTTATGTCATCATCCTTGAGTCTATAATCATTTATTTATATATTTATGTAAAACATACATCTTATTTTTGTAAATTATAAAAAGTATTAATTTAATGCCACAATTTGGTTTCAAACATTATTTGGATTCTCATAATAATAATATGATGGGTATGGGCTTAAACTTAATTCTGGCCTATATTGAAAATTTGAGTGTGCTATGCTTAATTTAATGTTACCCCATATACAAGAAGTATGCTCAAATAGTAACTATTGAATAGGAGAGGGAGAAAGAGTCTCGTTCAAATGTTAATCGAGTTTATTGTGTTAACTTTGTTAACTATTTTCAACCAATGACGATCCATCTTATATATAGGTTCATATTCATCTTATAATTTAATGACAATGATAAATATGTAATTTTCTTTTTTATGTAACTCCCATATCATTAATTGAGAGTTACAAAATCAAAAAATTCCAGGATTTTTGTTAATTTATTGTTGATCTTGTTTTTTTATATAATACTGATTTTTCTATCTATAATGTTTTTGAAATTGTGATTGGTAGGGAGACCCAGTAGTAAAGTTTTTGGTATCATTCAAACTATTAATTATAAACTCATTGTTCATAATGAAGGAACTATTGTTCACAAGTGTTCATATTGTGTTCATATTTACACTAGTTGCATATCTCAACATTGGTTCGCTCATGAATATGTTCATAATGAAGTAACTATTGTTCACAAGCTGTTCATATTGTGTTCATACCTGTTTTTTATTTATTTTCTTTCGTGTAGCAACTATTCTTATTATGTTCATATTGTATTCATAAATATTATGCAGTCCAAGTTCATATATATGTCGATTTTGTTCGTATTTGACACAATGGTTCACATATATATATATATATATATATATATATGTGTGTGTGTTCATATGGTTCTTACATTAACAAAAATATGAGATTTTTTGATTTTGTAACTCCCAATTAATGATATGGGAGTCACATAAAAAAGAAAATTACATAAATATCATTTTCCACTTAGTTCACGTATATTTGTGAAATTGTAAATTTAAAAAATTAAACTTATAATATGATATCTTTTTCTATTACAAAAATACCACTTCTGTTTTCTTTTAAGAACTCATTCTTAACGAGGCTTTCCATTTTCTTTCTTCTCTACTATCTTTAACGAGCTTTCTGTACATCCCTCACCCGACAACCGCATAAAAGAGGTAACTGATGGTTTTTGTTGTAAAACATATAAAAAATAAGATATTATGAGTAAAAACTTTGGTTTAATATGATGCTTGAAAGGTAACCGATCATGCTTGATGCCCTTTGGTTTTTACATCAAGGAGAGCTCACTGATCTATTGTTCGATTGTTGTTCAATGGAGCTCGTAGGAGCGCGATTTTGACATCACTTTGTTCCATCAAGGTTCGAAGGTCAAACTACTTATTTTTTTAGAGTAAATTATGATTTTCGTCCCTATGGTTTGTTAATAATTTTAATTTTCATCCCTCTAATTTAGAAATCACGATTTTTGTTTCTATGGTTTGCAATTTATCGTTGTTTTCGTCTCTGACCTTATCCTTGCGTTTAAGTATAAGAGACCAAAACAATAAAGAATTGTAAACAACATGGACTGAAACAACAATAAATTGTAAATTATAAGAAAAAAAAATAACAATAAATTATAAACCATAGGAACAAAAACTGTAATTTAGAAACCACAGGGACGGAAATGCAATTTTTAACAGAGCGTAAGAATGAAAAGCATAATTTACTCTACTTTTTTTACCATAATGTTTAGGAAGTGGATGGTAATTGTTGGAGATTTTAAGGATGTCGATAGTTCATTGATCCTAAGAGAAGAATGTAGTATACTTGAAAAGCAACCAACATTTTATCTGAAGAGATTGAAGTCGATAAAAATGAAGTATAGTTTGTAACCAGAGTTTTACGCAATGGAAGAGAAACCATTTAGACACGTGGATATCAAAAGAAATCCCCTTATCTAAGCATTTATTGATGAAGTATTGGGAAGAAAAAAAATCGTTTATTTGTGACTCCAGTTAAAAAAAATGCACATGTGTCTTCCATTAGAATCGTCCACAACCACCTTTTGATCCATCATGATTTCATCCATCTTCGATAGGACTATCAACAATTTCCATTATGTATTTCAGATTTGTTTTAGGATGATCGATATGTACCTTTTGTACTTAAAAAAAAGCTAATTTGTCCTTTTTTTATTAACCTGTATATTCAACCCGCAATGCTAGCCAACTAATCTCAGGACAACTACCTGCTTTGCAGATAGTCCGGATTCACCGCATTTGAACCTCCGTGGCCATAAGGGATTTTTATTCCTCCTTGGATTTAAACCTGAAACCTCCTGGTAATTTTGACCTTTGGAGCCAAGCTCAAACCAATCAGGCACCACCCTTGTGGTTAATTTGTCCACTTTTGGCACATCATGTAGGACAAACGGAACATATCAATCACCCTTTAATAAAGTTACAAGTACAAAGGCTTGATGATGATCTCAAGCTCTGATGAATCTAGAGTTTCTCTTATAAGACTCAATATCTCGCGTTTAAACCCCAAATCGGAAAGATTGTTGAGTGTTTGGATATACATCTGGTTTGATAATAGTTTGATAGATGAAAAGATATATGTTTAATGTAGGCTCAATAGATGTGAAGATAGTCTTTATATGTTTGATTGTAGTGTATAAATTTGAATTGTTCTCTTGCTAGTTTTAAAATCCTAAGCAATCTCGTCTATTTTTATTGTGTTACTTGATGTAGGCTCAATAGTAATTCAATAGATATTTACTTCATATTCAACTTAAAATTAAAGAAATAAAACTAAAAAACATTGTATATATCAGTAAGTTTACATAAACAAGTTCACAAATGCATTTCTGCCATGGCCTAATATTATGCTTCAAGAGGTCTATAATGCACACTCCTCCTTAAATAGGTTCATGTGGAAGGTTCATCATACTATGCTTGATGTACTTGATGGCATACATAACACAATCTCTAGTTTTCATCACTTGATGGAGCTCGCGCTATTTGACGTTGCTCGATACAAGGATATTTCTCATTTTATGTTCTTCAATGTTCATAATTTTTCCTGCTACATTTAGGAACTCCACCCTGAGTGCCAACTCTCTGTACTATAGAAGATCGATTGGTCTTACAGCATCGACAACTCTCTAAGCCCTATTCTCATGATTGAGGTCCCTCTGTTACAATCAGTGAGATCCGTCATAGTTGAATGGTTCTTGGTTGTAATATATGGTAAACCATCCCCTTCCGACAACTTCCATCGAGCCACTGTCGAGAGGGAGATGTTTCACGGAAGGAACAAGGAGAGGTTTCAACAGGCAAGGAGGAGAGGTTTCAGTGATAGGATTCATAGTGAAATGAAGAGTTTCTCAAGTGAGGGGTTTAAGGGAGAGGAAGAAAGAAAATCTAGGGATTTTATCGAAGAGTTTCAAGAAAATGGATTTTATAGTGGGGTTAATCAGGTACATTTCGGTACATCTTATCCTAATGTGCATCTGAGGGTGGAGATTCTTTCTCATCTTTAACTCTCCTTTTCATTGGAACCTAATCATTAATTCCAAAAGGTGTGTTGTATTTTATTAACACCACTTTAAGCACATAACACATGATAACCTAGTATACAATTTTGGTAAATGTTTTTATATTTTTTACATTTTTATATTTTTAATTTTTAATATATAAACTAATTTAAAGTTATTTAATAATAGAAACGTATATGTGAATATAATCATCAATATAAATATTGAAAGAAGAACCAAAGAGAATGACTTGATATTATGATATTGGAGTATTGCTCGAATCTTAAAATGTGGTTAAGTTTGTTTATTTCATATTGTTGGGATGAAGGAAAATCGAAAGAATGAAGTGAGTATATATATA